TTGCTTTTAGCTATTTCTTGAGCCGATTGAATTGTGTCTCTTGTTAGTGGAAATCCTTGTTCACGCATTTCCTTTACAAAATCAACAACAATTTCATCAATTTCTAAAAATCGACCTTTTTTGGATCCTCGAAAGGATTCTCGTGTTGAGTGAGCATTCAAAAGATTTTCTTTTTGCAATCGCCAACGTCTAATATTGGTTTCTGTTGTACCATACTTTTTAGCGGCTGCACAATAGTTTGTTTTTTCTGCTTCACAAATAGCCATAATTTTAAAATTGGCATCATAGCTTTTTCGGATATTTTTATCTATTTGACCTTTTGACGTACTCCGTTTTTCAACTCGATCGCACATAACTGATGCGGCACTCTCAACAAGTCTAATCCGTACAAGAGTTTGCTAACGAATAACAAAAGCGCGCCTTATCTACCCAACTTCACATCGGCCGTAAGCATTTAGGGGCTTCCCCTATTTACATAAGTAGCAGACTGGAAGCGAATCACACTCTTTGAGCCCGCTTACGCTTGCTTCTGTGCTAACACATCATTTTTAATTTGTCGGTAAAATTCCGAATATAAGGCGAGTGGTAATTTGGAGCCTAATTCTCTTGAAAAAAACCTCGCCTTATATTCGAGCAAATACGGTAGAACGCACAGGATAGAGAGAACTAGATAAAAATGACGGAGGTCTATGTGCAGCAGTGGATGTTAATGGCTGGACGATGGGGATGATGACGATATAGTATTTTGGCCTAATAGACAATTGATCAACTCTCAATAAAGAACTTTCACAGAATGAAGGAGGAAATTTTAGGATTCAATCTGCTATTGAGCGAAATAAGGGAATAGCCGACAAAAAATGACGGACAAGTTGGTAATTACGTATCTCCAAATTTACATAAGTCGGGGTGTTACCGAATTTCTTTCTTATTGTGTATTTCTCGCTCGTCCAAAGTATTAGTTCACATTTCAATCATACATTGTCGGTGAGTCGTAATATTCTTGTTTCTCTGTCTTTACTACTATCTATATTTTTTGTACTTTTTCTCTTTGTATTTATTTATTTTTGTGAGGCAATAAAGCGATTATTATTATTATTATTATCATCAAATTGCAGACACCATAAAATTATCATAACACGTCCAATATACATTTTTTCACGCCTCCTTCTTCCAATATTTATTTCAATAAGTCTTTGACGTGGATTCTGTTAGGATCCGAAACTTTTCTTAAATAATCCCTAAGCATTGAATTTACTACATTAATTTAATATTTTACTACTTAAAAGTTTATTACTTTATCTTGTTTGTTTTGATTCGGTTGTTATTCGTTTCCAAAATCGGTTTATTTGTTTTCTCACAGTTCTCTCCAGTTAAGCTTAATACGAAAGAATAACTTATTTGTAATAATTTAAAAACCTTTTAATTCACAATTACAAAAATTATCCATTCAAAAAAATCGTGGGTCATAAATCACCCATAAAACCCGCTTCGCAAACATACACTCCATTCGATCCTATCTCTCTAATTAAGTGCGAAATTTAGCGACGATAAAAAAAGTTTAGCAGAAGCGCAAAAATTAATTGTGCCATAAATTACTATTACCACATCCGGTTTTTTAACTCCCTCCTATTCCCGGATGACAATTTAAACGAACGGGGACGTTTTCGAAAAAAAAAACCCATGTTAATCCGCGTTCGCACCCGCCTTTATTAGTAACTCTCGGTTAGAAAGTCCTATTCCGCCCTACCAGTAAATCACGCTTAATCACGATACGATCGGGAGTAAAACCGCACGCGAAGAGAGAGAATGATTGTCAATTCTAAATCAAGAGAAGGAGGTGATGGGACGATTGTTAACATTTCTCGTTATAACGTAGGACGACGAGAAATTGAGGACAATGAGATCAACGATCGACGCCCCCAACTTCGTGTTTATCTGTTTCAGCGACCTCTGACAAGTCTTTAATCAATGTTTTTGTGTCTGATTCAATAAGAGGGTAATTTTGTAGTACCCCTTTAATGAGTCTGTATAATTTGATGTTAAAGGTTTTATAAGTCGTAATTAATTTTATTTTTTTTTGTTTTAGGTGAAAATCCAGCAGCGATGCAACACGGAGGACGAGGATTATCCTGGTTACAATGCAGCCCCTCGTCGTGGTTGATGATCTTAACTTTCTCCACACTGTTTTTGTCCTAGTTTTTTCGCCAATAATAAGGACGTCGATACGGATGTTTCGATAAAGAGAAGAATTAAACAAAAAAGATAAAAGTAAAGTTTCCAAAAAATTAAAAAATAAAATATCATAAAAATTCCTTAATAAAATGAACTGAATACCAGCAATCGTATAATAATTAATAAAACGTATAAATTAAAAAAATCTTTATATTGGGGCCGTTTAAAATAGAATGAAATGAAACGTGTTTTTGTGTTGGTGTCCATGACGATTTTTAAATATAAATTAATTTAAGATTTAAAAAGTGAATGGGATCTCGTCGAACCTCAGTGATTTGATAGTAACAATAAGTAAAGGGGATTAATATCTTGTAAACTACACGTGATATATATAAAAAAAGAACTTTTATTCATTAGGAATTTTATAAATTACAAACAGAAATAAATATGAAACGGTTACAAATATTTATTAATATAAAAATGTGAGCGTTGAGTTTATCTTTTAAATAAAAAGTTTGAGTGTTGTTGAATTTGATATTATATTACTTGTTATCATTCCTTAAACTAAATGTAATCGTCTTATTGTAAATCATTTATTTTCGATTGTTTTATTTTTTATTATACTGAGATTTAGTTTTAGAAAAAATTCAACGATGTTCAAACTAACTTTGAATGAGCGTTATTTAGATACAAAATAAAGAAAAAATAAAACAAAATCGTACATGTGTATGTTCATCTTTTCAAAATAATCCTCATGTTTATTAATCTCAAGCACATTCCATCACGTTTCGTTCTGTTTTATGAAATAAAAAGTCTAGTAACAATAATGTAACATAGTTGGAAGATAATATTAAATATAAATTTTTGGGGAAATATGCATTAAAAAATGAACGGATTTGTTTTCGTAATCGATACTAAATAATACTCGGATTTTTGTCACATTTTTATGGATCGTTTTGTCTCAAATACTTGGGTAGAATGTATTCGAAAAGCTGTTATTATATCGTCTAATTATTATCATCATGTACATGTATTATAAAATATTTATTTAATAAAATGTAAATAAATACAGATTTATGATGTTTTTTTCAACAATATTTACACTTACACAAAATTGCTTAAACAAACTGGAACTGTAAATTAATTTTATATTGCCCATCGATTATGTTTATAAGATTATGGGGAGAAAACTGAGGAATACTGTACAAGCTCTACAGCAACGAATTGCAGTTTATTTGAGTCATGGCGCTTCCAAAGAAAATCGCTAGAATCTGTGCCACAAAGAGTGAAGCATTCCTCCTTATTAATAACGTTTCTGTCAAATTAGATCAAAATATTCTTAATCCATCATTTAGTCATTTATTATGATCAACAATATTTACAAATTTTGACATGTGCGATATATTGCAGGATTATTCGCTATTGCTGCAAAGCAAATTCTGACAGTTTTTGTTGCAACTCACAAGCTTGGAATGTTATGACAATTTAGGATTTAATCGCGTACGCTAAGCGTCACAATACATGTTAAATTGCCTTTTAGGGATTCTAGGGAAGAGAAGTAAAACTATATTTATTGTTTAATTATTTTTCATTGTCAAAATTTGATCTAACATTATTTTATATTCTTCTTCTTTCGTTTACTTGTATATTTATGATTTCATTTTCTCGTTAAGTGCATAATATTGTGCAGCTAATCTTGTGGTTTTCCTATATATTATTAACATTCTCTTTTTTTCTAAACTGGCTTTCCAGATGTAATTTTTTCTTTGTAGTGTTTTCTTATTTGCTATCAGCATTATACCGTCAGATTTAAGCAATATGCTCAAAACTGTTCCGACATGTCCTATCAATGGGCTGCGGAAGACATAAGCACTGATATTGTGCTACCAATGCCATCAGATTTGACGGGATCACTGTCAGTGATTAATGCTCGATACCAGATTATACTGCCTGAACGGCAGTCCTGGATCGAAAACAAAAATTCTATCGTTCAGGCAGATATTTGCATGTTCACAGATGGATCAAACACGCCGGAAGGGGTCGGGGCGTATACTGCTAGACACTTCGGATTAAGCAAGCTTACAGCTTTGGTATGTACTGTATTGTATTCCAGGCGGAAGTATATACTATTAACATGGGTGCTAAAATCCTTCTTGAAAGAGGGGCGAAGAATATGACAGTAGTATTTTTTTCAGACAGTCAAGTTACTGTAAAAGCCACTGTAAAAGAACATTAAACACACTGAGTTGTGATAACAGAATTTCTCTGATCTGGGTCCCAGATCACTCTGGGATTGCTGGCAATCAACCGGCAGATGAGCTAGCATGAGAGTGCTAAAGCGCTAAAGCGTTTGTGGGGCCAGAGCTAGGTGTTGGTATATTATTTGCGATGGCCAAACATAGGACTTGATTGTACGCTGAAGAGAGACTTCGTTTACTGTGGACGAGTTCTCCTGGAATGAGACATGCTAAGGTGTTTCTTAAGATTGCAACTTTAAAACCCGGGAATATTTTAGGACTTGTTCGTAGCAGTATTAAAGTTCTAATGGGTGTCTTTACTGGGCACTGCCGATTAAAAACACACCTCAACTTGTTGGGACTAGCCGACGATGTTGAATGCCGACTATGTGCGGAGGACGAGGAGATGGTTGAACATGTTTTTTGCCACTACCCTGCTGTTAATCGTATCAGATTCTCGATTTTTGGGTCGCAGTTTATCTCCCAAAGGATCTGAATGACTTTTTACCGAGCTAGATATTAATTAAGTTCGTTAAGAGCATTGGACTGCACGGTGAAACATGATAACGTTATCTATCGGGGTACAATAGATCCTTAGGGTCGCGGTGCAAGATTGGTTGGTCCGCCTACCCGATATGTAATTTACGTAATGTAATGTAGTCAGCAATAACCTGTTGTGGAGGATCTTACATTTATTAGTTATTTGATCCATGAATGTTAACACATAGTAGTGATCTCAGTCTGCCCCCTTGTTTCATATCTTTTGCCATACTAAAGTTTTCGGACATACCACTGACTTTTGCCTTATTAGATACACTTTTAATTGTTCTTTGTAATTTTTGGTTTAAAAGTAAGTTCACAAAAGATAGATATAGATGCATTCCCATTTCTATTGTTTTATCTGTTAGTGTTCTGATTGTATAGATATTCTTTCCATTACTCATTATCTTTAGGGCTTCTTCTACTTCTTCTATTTTTGTCAATATCTTGTGTCTCCTCCTCTTCATTTCTTCATCTTCCTTTCTTTCTTGATTTTCACGTGGCGTTTGTGTCGTTTTTTACTATTCAAAATTTGTCCGGTATTATTCTTTCCAGGCCAGTAAAATTTCTTTATTTGATATTTTTAGAACGTTACTTTGATTTTAATGTTGCTTTTCTGTTTTCCTTGTTTTTTTTTAATTTCCTGATTATCTCTCATTGATCTTCTATATTTATATTATATAGCCTATTATTGATCTTCTTTTTCGGTGTATTTTCCAGTTTGTTATAGATTTAAGTTTCTATATTTAGTTCCGAATTAAGTTGCCACGCAAGCAATTATCAGAAACAAGCAAAAACTGATAGTTTTTTGATACCTCAGCCTTTGCATAAAGTTTTTGGTCGTCTTTGTAAACTGGAATTATAATTAAAATCTGCCACTGCCATTTTTACCTTATATGCATTCTTATATCTCTTCCTGCCTTTCGTGTCTTGAATCTCTGCTTCTTCACCTTTCTCTATCTTCTTGCCTTAATTTTCGCTTCATAGTATTTGTTTTCCCGTCACTCGTTTATTTTCAATCCTTGTCCACTTCTGAACGTTCTTTCTTCGCCATTGCTTTCCTCATAATCTCAATTAATTTTTCTGTTCTCCATTCGTTCTACTTTCTCTTGATAATTTTTCAATCTTCCTCTATAGCTTTCCTTTCCAAATAGTCTATTATTTATTTAGCCATTAGTACAATTTACTTCCTTTATTTTACATTTTATCTTTAGATCTTACTGTATGCACTTCCTTCCATTCTTCGCTTCGACTAGCTTCTCCGATTCATACAAATCACATTCATCTCTCTCTTTTCGCCATCTCTCTGGACTTTCATTCGCTTTTTTTGTGATACCGGTTTGTTATTCATTGTTTCATTATTGGTCAATCTCGTGTTTTTAACTCTCCTTTAAACATGGGGTATTTTATGCATCTTATTGTATGATCACTCTAAACACCCATTTCTTTACAATTTGCAAACTATTTCTGCGTCTTTCTATCACACTTCTTAAATTCATAGCACCATCCTACAATTTTCCATTTCAAACGAAGAATTCTTTACCCATCACATCCTGCCTCGAGTACTCCCATCACATAGTTAACACTATCTCTGCCTCATCTTTCTTTCTTAAATCGTCTATCGACTTTTACGATATCTGTGTGCTCGGGTTCTTCAGTTTTAGATAAAGGTGGTGGAAAATGCGCTTTACATAAGTATTTGTGATATCGTGTTAAACTCCCAACGATGTGAAAGTTATTAGCTTCTTGATGTAAAGGTTTGCCTTCAATGCTAAGTGCTTAAACGGCCTGACTACTTATTCATAGCATATTAATATGTACAGCTTATTAACAAGTGCTTATATTCTCTCAGAACCTTATTTATAAACCATATTTAAACATTACTTTAATACGAATTATGTGTATCTAAGGGATTATAATTAATTTACATGTTACATCAGGTTACAACAATAAAAATGTTTATTTCGTTAACTAATCTAGTTAATTCTAGAAATCGGGTAATATAAAACAAACGACTTGAAGAGCATTAAAAATTTACTTTAAACTTAAATCCAAGAATAATAAAATACAATTTCGTTTTTATCTTTAACGTTAAAATGGTAGAGAAAAGAATGGGTAACATTTGTCACAGAAAAAAATACTATCTTGTTTACAGTACTTATTGTCGAAAGTCCGAGCGTCTTTTTCTCCATTTTTCTACCCTCATTGGCATTCAGTACACGTTTCCCCATCTGCAGTTTTCGCTCGCAAGAAAAAAATATATACATATTAAACGTTGAAAGCGGTTTAAACGTGTGAAACCATCGCTAGTTTCCCAATTTAAATACGAAACGAAAGAAACACCTTACTGAATATTTTAATATGTTTCTTGATAGTGTTTTTAAAGTCGTTTTATATGGAAATATTTAAATGTTTACGTTATATTATTATATAAATTGGGTATAAATTTGCTTAAAATTACTTATTTTCTTAAACATGAAATTATTTAATTCTAAAATCTAAAGATAAATTTGTGGCACCAACTTTGTGATTTCCCATTCAAACCTATCCTTTTAAATTTTTATCAGGTGCTAATCTTTGGTCTCTCTTCGTCTGTATTCAGTTTCGTTGGTTATAACAGCTTTTTTCCTTTGGTCGTGGTTTCGTTGGAAGCAGGACGCGTTCACATTGCGGTCACGTAGCGACATATCCATCACCTGGGGGATACGTGTACGAAAATATTCAGCAGGAGAACTGAAATGGAACTGCGAAACGTCAAGCAACAGCGACAGGAAGACGATGTCGTCGTCGACGTGGTCGTGCTGATGTTTTTGCTGCCGTGCTGCATAGCGGCTGGTTTTTCATCTGAAAAATTTAAAACGGTTGTTCAAGGCAATTTTAAGTTTTTTTTCTTTTTTTTTGCGGGGAAAACGTTTTATGATAATCGAAATGAAAAATCAGAAATGAATTTAAAAATAAATATATCTCGATTGGGTAAGTAAATAGAATGGGGTGAAATTGGAATCATTGAATAAACATTTACATCACAAATATATTAATGAATTCACGTATTTGATAGTTTTATCAATTTTAATTATCGCGTTTTCACCAAATAATACTCTTTACAAAATACATTTTGTCGCTATATAATGGAAACAAATTAGTAAATCCTATTTACAAAATATAAATTGTAATTACTAAAATCGATTTATTTTTAATTTTTAAACGAGTGAAATAACCAGAAAATGGGATACACCCATTTTTTAAATCAATATTAATTGCGCAGGTTTCTCCACTTACTTTGTAGAACGTGAACTGTTACGCTTACAGGATGAGTATTTGATGGCATACACGTGTAGTTTCCTGCATGGATACTTTCAGCTTTTGGAATGTAGAGTTCGCTGTCTTGGCGACCATGCCGAATCGCAGCGCCACCTATTAGGTCAAAGTTGATCATTGTTTGTCCATGATACCAAAATATATACTCCGGTTGTTCCGTTGAACGTCGCAGAATGCAGGATAAACGCAGAGAGGACCCTGTTTTAATGATTTTGTCGGGGCCTCCTAAAATTTCTGCGCGCGCCTCTGCAAAAATATTGATTTAGTTTAGAAACAGAACTCTTATTCAAAATATAGGGAGCTTGAGAGTTGAGTAGGAATCTGTAAGGTCGATAAAATAAAATAGGATTAAATTTATCCCTAAATATGATGTAATTAAATCACAAAAACAATTTGTGTAAAAGAAATACCAAAACCATCGTCTATTTAAGGCGGTAATTAATAAAAAGCGAATTTTATTTGTAAATGCGACATGGAACGTTAGCCAATTGGAGCGTAAATTGTGTAAAAAAACTCGGAATATTTTCGCCTCGTTCGAATTCGCAATTCGAAATATTGCAAATTCTTTGACCTATTATTTTATTTCATTTTTGCAGCAAACGTTTTCGATGTATGTACAATAAATGACTTTTTTTGTCACAGATCAAACGCAGAGAATAAAACATTTAAAAGAATAAAAAATGAAAAGGATAAAATTCCACCATAAAATAATAATTTTTATTTATACCCAAATATTCATGTATTCCTTAAAATGTAAATAAATAATGCTTTGCGTAAATAAACAAATTTCTGATTAATTTGTTTAAAACAATATCAATCAAACACGCGTAAAATAGAATTGTTCTTTTGGGTAGAATTTCAATTCTGGCCATTCCAGCTAATCGGTTGTTGTCATCCGGTATCCAAATTCGCAGAACAAACGCGGTCGCGATGAGAATTATTTACAATCCGGTACAAATATCAATTACTATGCGGACCGCGTCCATCTGAATAATTTCCATCGATCCCGGATCTGTGCTCACCTGACACAGAATGATGGATCGCAGTAATGGTCGTCTCTGTAACAACTATCAACGCATTCCATTCGAACCATCATCTCATGTACTAACAATATCATTGCAGACAGATATAGGACTCTATTACGTTTTGATTGCGGTTAACTGATTATGAACTAATGACGGAATATCACAGAGCAGAACCTAATGATGTGCATCGATGTATGACCACTAATCGATGATGTGGTAAATGATCTCAAAGTAAACATCAAATTTACAAGACCAATCAATTATCGTATCGTTTGTTACATTATTTAACAGAAATTGAATGACATCAATCGTTTTATAGTTAATCCTCGTTTTCGAAATATAAATGAATAACATAATTAATATCCACCAGAATTATACATCATACTAATTAATACTGAAACTTTTTCTAACCTTAGTCTTTCATTAAAAGCCCTTAATTCTTCTTGTTAGACTATATGGTCTGTTTAGTTTGTCTGGTTTGTCCTCCGTGTTATGTCCTGGGACGTAGATTGCCAACCATCCCGTCTGCCAGGTGGTCTGATACCTGGAGGTTTGTATATCAAGACAGCATTGGGCAATCTGTTATTTACATGCTTTTTACGTGATTATGCCACGCTCTTTTCCGATGTCTGCCCCATCTGACGATATTCTGTATCTCGCACTTTTCCCTAATGTCGTCGTTCTTCATTCTATCCATTATTGTTATTTCCAATATGGATCTTAATGTTTTCATCTCACAATCAGCTGTTCTTATTAGGCTCTTGATTTTGTTTGTCTCCTCGCGGACTTCAATCCCGTAGGACATTATCGGGCGGATGCACGTCTTATAATAATAATAATAATAATGTTTATTAACCCATCGCACCATTATAAACCCCTATAACAAAATACTTAAAAACTAAAATAAAACAAAAATAAAATGCCATGAGTTAAAAAGGACCAAGTCAGCATTCCCAGTGGGTCAGTTATTTTTCATTGGTCTTTTTTCTACATTATGTATATATAAACTTAAACTTCATGACGGCAGACGGAAATAGAAAGACTTCTTGTTACCAAAAACTTAAAACTAATAGCAATTATACATATCAGTAAGACACGCAAGGAGAAGAAACACGAAAAGACAATAAAAGAAAGAAAAAAAACAAAGAAAAGAAAGAAAGAAACGAAAAAGACATAGAAAGAGTGAGAAAAAAAAACGAAAGAGAAAGAGAAAAAGAGATAATTGGTCCATATGTCATCACAATTCTGTTCATTCAACAACTTAGACCTACCTATCACCCTGAAAACCCGCTCAGTTTCCTGCAAGACCGAAAGTGGCACACAAATTAGGCACACAATACGTGAAAGATCTTTTAAAAATTTTCAGTCGATGCTGGGGTATTGTTAACGTATGTCTGTGCCTAATATTATGAATATGTTCGAAATTGAATTTTGTTGTATAAATATGGTGGACATTTGCTAGTCAAAACCTTATGGTAGAGGCAAGCAGAGTGAAGGGCCCGACGACGTGACATATTCAACCAGCCCACCCATTTTAAGGTGTATGAGATACTCGCATATTTCCTAATGCCATAAATAAAACGTAAGCAGGCATTCTGAACTTTTTGAATACTTACTTTGTGAATATTATCAATACAAGGGCCATATAATACATCACCGTAATTAAAGATCGAGAGAACCAGGGCGTCACACAAGCATATTCGCAGTTGCTGTTCCAATAAATGCCTACTATTATAGAGCAATTTTAGCGCTGCATATGCCCGACGGAGTAGACCACCAATGTAAGAGTCAAATCTAAGTTTACTGTCAATAATGATACCCAAATTCCTTGCACTTTCAGCAACCTGCAAAACATCAGAGTCAATTTTCAAGCTCAACCCATCCCTGACTTCGTCCAAAACACCCCGGCTCTCAAAGACCATCACCGATGACTTAGCTGGATTTATCGTTATATATCCTAACTTTGATGTCGATTCTCATGTAATCGTTATACCAAACAATGTGTCTGATATTGCTGCTGCCGTATTAATTTGTGATCTTAGGTCTTTAACAGGATCATTGTAACTGGAAATTTGTACGCCCACGTAGACAAACTGCATGACCTGCTTGATGGTAGTGTTTTCAACGACCAATTTGCACCTTATTGGCTATTACCATGCATTTGGTTTTATCAATAGAGACAAACATGTTCAGTTCTTTGCTCATTTGGTAGAACTTATAACGTTATTTTTGTAGGTCATTTTCTGAGTTAGCTATTATCCCAGCATCGTCAGCATAGCAGACAAATCTTTCAACAAATCTTTTCTCGTCTAGTCATTGTGTAACCAAGGTGCATAGTTCTCACTTCTTTTATAATATTGTCCATTAGGAGATGAATAAGATTAGACTGCGACCGTCAATCTGCCTGCCTCCTCCTGGTGTGGAAATATCCTCAGTTAATTCCTCTCCAGCTTTCACTTTTATTGTATTATCAATGTTTAATTTATGTATTATGTTTATAATATCAGCTGGTGCCCCTCTTTGTTTTATCAGATTATCACCCAATCGTACTCAATCGAAAGCTTTAGTCAAGTCCATAGAACACATGTGTGCTGGTTTGTTGAACTCAATCGACTTCTCTTTTATTTATTTAATGACACATTCGGCATCAGTTATCGATGTGCCTTTCCTAAAGCCTTGTTGTTCTTCGGCATTTGTTATGATATTTTCTAGCTTATTTTTTTAGTATGTTTGTAAATAGCTTCATAGTGTTCAACAGTATTATGCCGCGATAGTTTTCAGGGTTAGTTTTTGCTCCTTTTTTGAATATGGGAATTATTATGCTTTTGTGTCATTCATTTGGTACTTCAGAGTTTTGCAACACTCTGTTGAATAGATGGATTCATTTTTCTGATAAGACTTTCCCACCATCCCTGAGCAATTCGTTGGGTATTTTATCTGTTCCAGGGGATTTTCTATTTTTTGAGTTTGCCGAGCTTCCTTTTAACATCTTCTACCTGAATAAGGATGTTGGTATTTACTGTTTCATCAATGTCTATAAGTCTTTCCGAGGAGTATAGTTGTTTAAAATATTTTCCTGCATTGTTTAGCCATTAATTGTCTTTGGAAATTCTTAGAAATAGTTACAAATTCTTGGATATCCTAGAAAAGCTTAGATTTTTTTTTAAACTTTGAGTCACTCCACATAATCTCGAAGAGTTGGCAAGTAAGTATTTGTATGCTAATATACTTTTGTGTATGTATAAGAATCTATATAATAATCTTACATATGGTTAAGTAAAAGTATTTCGTAGCTGGAATAGTAAAGCTTTTGTTCTAAATATTGTATACCACCGCATAGAGCAGAAAGTTCGCTATAGATTCAACATGGCCTCGGAGTTTCGGCCATATTAAATAACAAAGTTATGACGCCTATAATGTATACAGATCCCATATCTATAATATATAGGTATAGATCCCTCATGTATAGATGAGCGTCATCTATACATGAGTTTTCATAGTTTTAGAAGAAATAGATTCTCAACTAAATGATCGGTTAATATTGCATGCCATCCGATGCATCGATTCTACATATGGTATTGGAGTTCTCTGCATATCGTATAAGAATGTTATGACGTTTTAAATACGGCAATTATACGAGGTTTTCGTAGTTTCAGGAAAATATGCTTCTGTAATTAAGTGATCAATTAATACTATATATCAGCGCATTGAGCAGAAATCGAAAAATTTCCATTTATTTAGTGATTCTCGTAGTATTAGGCGAAAATGATGATTTTGGAAGTAAGGGATTGATTAATAATGTATGCTACCGCATATAGCAGAAAATTTGTTATCGATTCCATATTATCGCAGTTTTGTCCGTATCATATGAGAAAGCTATGCCGCCGTAAATATTTAAATACTGCGTTATATGAGATTTTCGAAGATTTAAAGGAAATATATTCTTGCGCAGACAAGTAGTCGATTAATATTGCATGCCAGCATACTAAGTTGAAAATTTTCCATCGATTCTATATAAAATCCTAGTTGTTTTCATATGATATAAAAAAGTTATTACGCCGTAAATGTTTAATACGACAATTATATGAGACTTTCGTAGTTTCAGAGGAAAACGATGCTTTTGCAATCAAGTGAGCAATTAATATAGAATTAATATCAAAGCGGAGTTTTCTATCGTTGATTTTACCCTATATCAACCTTTGATTTGAATATAATAATAATAATAATAATAATATATATTGTGCCTGTAATCCCTCAATAGTAATGCTAGCATCTCTCAATATTCTCTCTCCGTGGTCTTCGTATCCATTAATAACACAGTTTCAAACATCCTTAAACATTGTCTCTGATAACACCTAATAAAATATTTGTGGTCTTGGATATTTCTTAATGCAATTCCTGTTAATTCGCAAAATAGTTGCAAAGATCACGTAACTTTATCTGCGATAATCCTCAATATCTACCCGGACATTCCACATCATTGTCTTTATCTCAACAGCATCTGGCCCAACCTTCTCAAATATTAATGTTAACAGAAACATATGTCAAGAACATCTCTGTCACAATATTATTCCAAATATGCCATAATGTAGTCTATATCGGTCTGCCACACCTCAACATTATCCGGAAAGCCCTTAAAGTCTTCACTTGGCATTATTCTGGATAATACTCAATATCGTCTCTAACAAGTCTCAGCCTAATCTTGGACTGAGAGTCCACCTAACCATCATCTCGGATATCCCCCAATGTAATTCTTAGAACTGATCACACACTTCCAAACGTCGTTCAACAATATCTGTGACAACTGTCAACATCAACCTGAAAATCTTTCGTACATGGCATATCTTGACGTTATTTAACACATTCGTCAATATTATCCCAGGTGCCTTATTAACCTACCATATCGTGAAACAAATTATTGGATATCTCACAATTAAGAATACTTGTATTCATGTGTTAACCTACCATATCGACCAATATTGTCTCTGATATCATTCCACTTCTTCTCGGGTCTGCTTTAACATTATTATCAAAAACTCTTATATATATTATGTATAGTACCTTATCTTTCTTATCATCTTTGATTGTACTCCTAATCAAACTTTTGTTGTGCCTGATAATTCTTACTAACGTCTGAAAGTCGTCTCTGTTGTAGCTTAACATCTTTCGATATGACCGTCAGCATCGTTCTTGCCATCACTCAATATCAGAGCTGATATTTCTCTAATTATCTTTAATATTGTCTCAAATGTCTTTGAAGGTAATTCACTACTTCCTTCATCATCATCTCTAGCAGCACTCATGTTCGTTACCAACATTTATCAGTCAACATCGTCACTGACAACAATTCAATATCATCCTAAAATCTCTAATAGCGCGTTCTCAGAAATCAAATTTAATTGGCCGATTTTAGTTGATCAACAAAAATAGAATGAAAACCTGTAACAATCGTTCAAATGATGAGTCATCACAAATTAATTTTAAGTTGAACTTTGTCTTGAACGTATGAAATAAGTAGTTAATAATCTAAAAGTGTTATGATGAAATTTTTGGAACTATAATAAGCATGATTGTCCTTTCAACCATATGCCTCTCAAAACAATCTTAAGAGTGCATGCTCCGACCCTTTGGATCACAGATAATATAAAGCTCATGCAAAAGCTGCGAGATAAGGCCTATACCAAGTACCGCAACAACATGTCAGTAACTAAGTGGGAATATTATAAATCTTTGCGTAACTTGGTAAATACATCGATTAACCGGGAACGTAGAGCTTATTTTGAGTCGGAACTGACATCTACAAGTAATTGTTGGAGAGCTCTACAGAATGCGAGAATGTTTAAAAGAAACTGTGTGCTCCCGCCCCACCTCGGTTCGTTAAATGATATTAATAATCATTTTATTGCCACAATTGGGGGGAGTGGTGGATCTGATAAAGAGCTTGTAAATTTTTATAACTCAAACCTTAAGCAGGGTGTATATTTCAGCCTTCGGGCACTAACTGACGACGATGTAGAACGTGTTATGCACTAATACTAAATGTAACAAATTATGTTGCGCTCACTTGGTACCCTACATTCGCGATATTATAAACTCAAGTATAGCTTCCGGTGTCTTTCCGAAAGCTTGGAAAAAAGCGTTAATCAAGCCGTTGTCCAAAATTAATAAACCATCAGGTATCAACGATTTGAGACCCATTAGCATCCTGCCTGTGCTTTCAAAAGTTGCTGAACAAATCTTATATGAACAAATGGTGACCTTTGAGGAAGAGAACAACATTTTGCCACAGAATTAACCAGGCTTTAGACGAAGTTATAGTTATACTACTGCACTTATACTCATTATAGACGATGTTGTCCGGGAAACTGACAGGGGTAACGTGACTGTCGTTTGCTTGTTGGACTACTCCAAGGCATTCGATACGGTCGATCATGAGACTCTTCTATCAATCTTAAAGTATTTGGGGTTCAATAATAAGGCAGTATATTTAATGCGTGACTGTGAACGGCCAACAGTCTGATTTTCAGCGAATTGGGTCTGGGGTGCTACAGGGCTCTATACTGTCTCCATTATTTTATGCTTTATATACGTCAAACTGCGATCAATAGATTAAACACTGTAAAGCACATTTCTATGCGAACGACACACAAATATATCATTTCTTTTCGGTTCATGATGTTAAACAGGCATGTGCACATATTAACAGCGATCTGCATTCCTTATGTGAGTTTTTTTACCGTCATAGTCTTGAACTTAATCAAATGAAATCGAATGTGATTGTATTTGGTCCGAAGAAATAAAAACAGATGGTCTTAAAAGAACTACGCATTATAGTGAACAATGAAGTCTTGCCAATTCAGAAATCAGTTAAAAATTTGGGCATTGTGATCGATGAGAGTCTGAGTTTCAATGAACACATTAACAAACGCATTCAGAAAGCTTATAGCAGTTTAAGAATTATGTATAGCAATAGAAGCCTTTGTGAATCGTAAAACAAAAATTCATCTATGTGAAAGCTTAGTTCTATCCATATTTAACTACGGTGATGCCCTGTATGCCCCGTTTTTGTCATACATATTACAAAATAAAATTCAAAAGGTACAGAATAGTTGTATTAGACTGATATTTGGTTTAAAACGCAGAGATCACGTAAACTGTAAGTTGGCCACTTTGAAATAGTTAGGCATGCAGAGGAGAAGATCACTACACACCTTATGTTTATACTATAAAATAATGACCTTACAAAAACCTCCGTATCTGTTTAAAAAAGTACGTTTTCGTGCGGACGTGCACTAGGTCAATGTTAGATTTAGGGGTAGATTATCTCCATCAATATTTTATACCGTAAGTTTTAAAAGATGTTTTTCATACCAGATATGCAAAGTAATAAATTAACTTGCTCCTTGTTGTGCATTGGCTGAGTGTGCGTCAATAGCCATTTTCAGAAGACGCTATGCTGTTTTTCTATTTGGGCAGCAGTGTTCTTGACCCCATTTATGCTTTGTTTTTCTTTTTCTAATTGTAGAGAACCCTTTCGGACATTTTTATTGGAAATTGCGAGGAAATTTTACATGTAAAATTTGTGTAACTACTTTTGATTTTTTTTATCGCTTCAGTAATTAACCTCTGTTTTTCTCTTTTGTTCTATGGTGAGGTGGAAGATCAGTACATATTAAACCTCATCATAAGTTTGATCATCGTAGATGTTTATTTTAAGTATTTTGTTCTTATATTTGTATTTTTTTGTGTATAAACCATTATTATTATTAAAAAGCGGAATGGAAACAGTGCAATAATTGTACGTGCGAAAATTGTTTTCTGTTACATTCTTTATTCTTTTTACATTATATATTAATTGTTCATCGTGGTGTTACATGTTCAGTTGCCTGAGTACAGCACCGTATTCGTATCCGTTCGGTATATTCATCACATTAGACGTTAATGTTGTGTAGTTGCCATTTTCTAAACAAATACTTGGAAACGAAAATAATTCAACTGCATGCTGTTGAATTGATAAACTTGACTAAGTAATGCAAAGAAATAAAAGTAATACTGATGATGAATTCGACATGTTTGGCAAATACATCATTGTCTAGCTGAAACAGATGCCTCTTTACAATGCAATTATCTGCCAGGAATAAATTGAAAGTGTAATAAAACAAAAGTGATTGTAGATCTTGAGTCAGTCTCAGTATCATACAATTCCATCATCAAGGTTTCCACCTTGTTAATATCAGAGACTATATCACCAGCATTTTCACCTTCTCGGTATCATTCATCTCCATTGACATCGCCTTCAAATAACATGGACGAAGAATATTGATGGTTGTTGGTTTCAAATCAATCTAATATTACTGTATACATTGAAATGTGTCTTAGACTAAGTTATGTGCTATTCTTGTCAAGTTTTTGTCTAATTTATTAACAGTTGTTAACAACCAAGCTGTGGTGTATTTAAAAATTTCTTTTCAGCTTGTATTTCAACCGGACATCTTACTTTATAAGTAAGATTTAATAAATAGTCCTCAATAATAAAGACTTCATAAAAAAATATGACAATTTTTTATCTTACCAACTAATTGTAGATCAACGAATATACTAGCAGGAGGATGTGAGGTAACTTGACATTCATATAATCCTTCATCGTCTTGATCAACGTATCGAATATGTAAACACCAATCCTAAAAAAAATAAAATAAAAAAATGATTAGAAAAGATTAAATTAAAATCCTATGAAATAAAACTGAAGATTATAAAGAAGAAAAAAAAAATGATGGAAACGTAAAAAATCGGTTCGGGACCCTATTAAACCGTAAACTTTACGATCGCCATTAATCATGACCAGGACCGTAACGGTTTTTTCCAGCAGGTCCTATCAGCGCGCCCTGCATTGTTTCCATTGATAAAGGCTCGCAGAAAAAAAGAAACTGAATAGGGAGTCAAAACTGGCAGCGTGGGTACGAACCTGATTGATAATATCCTTTGCATTCAGTCGAAATGAATAAAAAAGTTTTTTTCATGTCGCCTACCGGGAATTTTAATATCTCGAATCCCGATGGGTTATTGTAATCTCCAGACCTCTCGTTCTGCTCGAGATGTTCGAGTTTGGAATCGAAAATAAGCTTTAGATCTTTTTTTTTCGGTTATTAAAACGCAAACTCGTCATTTTTGCAGAGATAACCGAACTGTTCATATAAAAATATTAGTTATCACAACTAAGTTACTACTAATAATGAATTATAAAATAGTATAAATTTGAAAAACTCAATTTATGGATATAAGTCACATTTATAAGTTAATAAGCATTTAAGAGCAAGGAAATTCTCTCTAACTTTCATTGCGTTCGCGTATGGAAATTCGCAAAAGTATCAAAGTATTTCCATTCGCATTCATATATGTAAATTCGCACATGTAAATGCTAATAATCTCAAATTGAACTGCAATAAAGTTCTGATCTCGTATACGGGGTTTTATTAAAATTGATCCAGAAGGACATTTGAATCACATCGACTGTTTACATTTGTTCGAAATCGTATTGAAAGTTTTATATAAACCTTACATCAAAAACACTACTTTTATCGTTTTCTTCTTCTCCTTCGTTTCTTAGATCTAAAAATTTTGCAGAAGAAAAGTTTTTGTGGTTTTCCACAAAATTACACAAAAAAAATCACAACTTACTTGAATATTCATGGTATGTCTCTTTGGACGAGAGATAAATGCGTTATACTATGCTATTACGTTTTATGTGATGGAACCGCGCCGCCATAAAAAGACGTTACGGACACCTGTTTCTAAAACGACGTCGACTACGCATAAAAATGTTTGAAAAGAATTCAACGAAAACTTAGTAGATAACGATAACATCGAAAACTTCCACCATTTCGGTGTCTAAACCACTTTAAACTAAATCGTACAATTTTAAATATAATTTATTAATATCATTAAAATATATAATTCTGTACTGGATGAATAATATAGAATATTTGGTTGGGTGTAAAATGCATCTCTTCAAATGTATTCACAAATTGGATGTTTCCAACTAACGGTTGGTTTTAATATTTTATTACGTTTGATTGAAATCCATTAGTAAACACATATACACAAACAGATTTATACTGTATCTGCAGCTTTTGAACTACTAAATGGATACTGAGATTTTGTATTTTGACAATACCAAACCGTTTTGTGAGGGTGAAATGTTTTTCAATATAAATGTTTTATTTTAAAGTATATTTGATAAAAAATAGCACCGGAGGAAAATAAACGTGTCATAACAATTTAGCAAAATAAATAAAACTATAAACTCACCTTTCCATTTCGACCAATTCTCGTGAAAAATCTATAATCGCTGCTATATGTTAACAATCCAAATGTTAAAAGTTTATAATCTTTCCTACGTTTCCAGGTAACCTAAAATTTAAAAAAATAATAACTATTATTTATTAATAAATAAAGATGTTATGGTTATGAAAATATGCTTTTTGTACTAAATGATAATATGATTAACTTATGAGGTAAACATTACAGCGTATAAGTTACGTTGAACAATTATCTGCAAGAAGAAATCAAAAAGAAAGGGCTATATCTAAGGAATGTAAAGCACCTTACATGTAAAGTAACCCAATCAAAGTAAGTATTCCTTCAACACTAGTTTTAACAACATATCTAATCATAATTACTGCGTTCGCGTTCAATTTCCTAATTTGTAAACATAACAATAACGTTTATCATAGAAGTATCAAACAATAACTTCCAACCATTGATATATTTTAAACCATTTGAATTACAAAATTACTAAACAGTATAAAGTTTTAACAAACATTAACACATATAGCGGTTACTGATTACCACATCACTGTTAAAAAAATTTAGAAATCTATTAAACAGTCGAAACATGTTATTATTAAAGTTGGCCAGTAATACATGAAAAACCAAGGGCGATAGAGAAAAATATCTTGAAAATAAATTATTTATAATGAACCACGAAAACATAATCCGTCATCAGGTCTAGCTTAGCAATAACCATATACGAGCTAAAAAGTGAAAATCCTCATAATATCAGAATAGACAATTGTTATTGTTAAAATTGATCATACCTCAAAAACCAAGGGCGGCAGTGAAAAATATTGTATATAAATTGTTTACTATAAACCAAGAGAACATAATCGATCATCAGATCTAGCTTAGTTATAACCATATACGAGAAAGAAACTAAAAATTCTCATGTTATCAAAATTGATGATTCTTGTTATTAAAGTCGGCTATAACTCAATAGTCATGGGCGACATCGAAATACATTTTGGAAATAAATTGTTTATAATGAACCAATAAGACATAGCCCACCATCAGATCTCACTTAGTTATAACTATGTATATCAGTTAGAAACTGGAAATCTCCATAATATCAAAATTGATGATTTTCATTCTTAAAGTTGGTCTTAATTCAAAAACAAGGGTAAAAAAAGTTTTATAAATAAATTGTTTATAATGAACCATAAAAACATAATCCATCATCAGGTCTTGCTTAGTAATAACCATATACGAGATAGAAAGTGGAAATGCCTATATTTGGTGTTATTGTTGGCCATAACTCAACAACCATGGGCGATAGAAAAAAATATTTTGGATATAAATTGTTTACAATGAATCAAAAAAACATAATCCATCATCAGATCTAGCCTAGTTATTACCTTATACGAGATAGAAAGTGGAAACCCCAATAATATCAAAATTGATGATTTGTTATTACAGGGCAACTGTCATTATAAATAACAAATAACTCAAAAACCAAGGTTGAGAGAGATAACTATTTTGGAAATAAATTGTTGATAATAAACAAAGAAAACGCATAATGCATGATCATATATGGCTTAGCTATAACCTTATACGAAGTAGAAATTTTAAATCCCCATGATATCAAAATTGATAATTTTATTGTTAATCCTTACATGCAATATTTAAAAATTAAATACAATTTTTTTTGCTTTATTTATTACAAGATGAAGGATTACTTTGCCAAATGGCTACAATATGCACTAAATACATAAAATATTAAATATTCATTTTAGTCTAATATGAAAATTTAGAAAACAGATTTTATTTTTATTTATGTCGGGTCGAGCGATGTTTGACTACTTATGAGTGACTGACTAGTTTTTAGAGCGTAATTTGGTATATTGCAGCTCAGAATTATTAACATGAATTTCTGGTTACAATTTCTTGTTGTTGTTGGAAGACGAGGTTGGCAGTAAAAGAGTCTACAGAGAAGCTGCTGAATATTTCTCTGATTTTTCTAAAAAATAGGCAAGGAGAACATCTTCTGAACACTTGCCTGTGATTTTTGTAGTTTACGACCAGTCCATAAAATTTCTGTATTTTTTTTTCATACTTTTTTCGCGATTTGGATGGAAGAAGACTTTTGGTAGCTATTTTGGCTGCCTTAACTATTTCTTCTAAAACGACCACATATCCTTCGTCGTCAACAGAAAATACCTCTGTTATTTACAGTTTTCTAGAGGTTTTCCATTAAATATTTTACCACAAAAACTGAACACGCACTAAATTACTACAAATATAAATAACTATTAAACATTCTGCAACACTACGTTTGTCGCATATCTTGTGTCTGAATTCCCGACAATTAAGATATTTACATCTTATTTTTGTCTTCTTCGGAAGGCCAATGAGAATAATGATCGTTTCTAACATCCTTAGAAGGCAAATGATGGGCTGGAGGTCTTCTTTTTTATTTGTAATTTGCGTTTCCACACTACGCCATTCTGCTTGATTGAGAAGATTATCATGTTGCAATTTTTACTCTTTTGTAAAGTATTCATGCATGTATAACACATAAATCTACGATTTTCCACACATTTCTTGTTGTATTCGAAAATCACAAATGGGCATTCTATCTCAAGTATTTCTTTATGTTGCCGATCAAAACGCTTTATAGTGAACACAGAATGTTTTCCGGAAAATTTTGACAACATAGATATACAGGGTGTTTCATGACGTTCTCCCGGCACCTAGGAGCATGTTGTTTAGGTGATTTGTAATAAGTGTAGCTCAATAAATAAAGTGAATTGTCTTGCTCAATGCTTTTTTTTTTGGTCAAACATGACGCAATTATGGGAATAAGTACTTTATTTTACTAATGCAGTCATAGCACATTTACCCTTTGAGCCCCGCGCTGGGCCGTAACGCCATAATTTTTAAATATTATTTTCAACTTCATATAACTCAATAAGTGAAGTGAATCGGACATATGTTCATATGAACTTTTTTATTACAAATCACCTAAACAACATGCTCCATTAGTGCCGGGAGAACTTCATGAAACACCCTGTATACTGCGTCTTCTGTGTCTTCTTCAGAATTTTGCTATCTTGAATATATTTAAAATGTATAAGAGAAACCAAATATACTTGCAAGTTACAAATAGCTTGTAATTATGGGGTTTTCGAGAAAGTACTGGTTTATGTTAATATTTAAATCTTTGTTGAACACATTGTCCAACTATACTAAAATATTGCTCCAGTGCTACAGATAAATATTTTTTATTCAGTGAAGTAGAAGACTAATTTTATGGAACCTGTCATGGTTCGAGTGACTTTGAAGAAGAAGAGTTGAAGACTTTGAAGTCATCAGAGTTGCCATTTTTGTTGAAGTGAAGAAATTGGCGAAGTTTTCCAAAATTATTTACTGACATGGTCGTTCGTATCGGTTGGAATCCCGTTTATCACTTCAATACGAACGTGTATTTACACTAATGACATGTTCAGAATTATACCTATATCTATAGCAGTAAATGAAGACAGTCTTTCTGTTTTTCTTTGCACAGACAATAAATTTGATTCAGAAAAATGTCACCTTCGCTTTCTAATCCTGTAAAATTCGTTCAGTAATCCTGCTGCAAAGTCTTTTGAAAACACATCTTCTGAAATTAAAGCACCTTACGCGTTAAAAAAGGAAACAGTTTATGGAGGTTCCTGTAAATAGGGTAAACAAGCAGATCTGTGTTTGTTTTTACTCTAAGAGAGCAATGTCATTCTACAAAATTTCAGAATAAGAGGCTTTGAAGATAACGGTCGAGCGCGGATGGTGTCAAAATCACAGCTCAGTGTGATATAAACGCTTTTGGTAAACTTTTTCCCTAGCTGGTGTATAGTACTGCATCATAGCCATCCAATTTTCTGTTTTGTACGTGAAGAAGCTAGCATAGAACTCCTTGATAGTCTTGAGTACCACGGCTTTTTAACTATTAGCTATGGATACGTGGAGTGTTAGAAGTGGTTTAGAATTTGCGTAGCCAAACGTCTCCTAACGTGGTGGCAAATCACAGGAAGTTCGTGGAGGATGAAAATTAGTCACACACGAGGAGGTTAAGAACTATACAAAAGTACTTAGTTGATACTTTCCCCACATACTTCCTTCTTTCCAGCAATCTTTAGCAATCTTTACTACCACCCCTATTACTCTATGTTATGGACAGGTTTTAGAGTACGGATTTTTGGTTCTCTGTTTTTCATCAAAAGAATTACATCTAATTTAACCTTGCAACGTATATACTTTTAGTTTGATTCGTAGGGTGGTCCACCTTCGAAATGTATTACATATATTGCACGATGCTGCTTTGAAGGATCAATAAAATAAGAAAAGGAGATCGATAAATTTCTTTGGGCATATTGTGACGATAATCTTTATAACGAAATTCATTTTATACTAGATATTCCATAAATTGAATTTAGCCATTATTTACTTGTTCTGAAAAAAACTGTTATGTTATTAGAAATATATCCCTAATGAATCCTAGAAAACTGATTGTGTTAAAATGTTTTTTGTTATTTTCCTTACTGTATTATTCCCAATATTAGTAACCTCGCAATGTAGTAAAGCCGTTGTCCTGGTCTGAGCTTGTACAACAGTATAATTCGGGCTCAGGAACAGAATCTGCGATATCCTGTTCGGTTCCAAATCCTGATAGATAGAATTCTGCCCCAATTCACTTCCGTGATGCGTGTTATCCTCGCGTCCAATGGCCCGATCTCCTCGTCCATGTTTATAAATACCTAAAAGAAAAAGAAATGGAAAAAATTCTTTTAAATCCTTTTTTTACCCAGAAATGGTAAAAATAAAAAAAGAGTTAACAAGATCGCAAGGATCACGAACGAATTAATCATGGTCACCGTTCAAACATCGTTAGCGTATTTACATTAGCGAGACCCCGGACTTTGACTTTGTGTTCTGCGGAAGAACTGCGATGGAAACTCGGCTGTCCAGGGTCGAATCGAAAGGAAAAACCCGCCTTCAGGACCTTCGTCCCCAGCAATAAATCACGGTGCCTTTTCACGACGACGCCCTTCGGGTTACTTAATGAATTGTTTCGGGCTCCGTAATTCGGTTTGGGAAGCTCGACGTTGCCCGCTTATATCGCTGCAGTCGCAAGTTTTAACTAGACGGTTTAAAGTAGTTTCGAGTGCAGAAATTTTAAAGGATAATGAGATATCGTAGAATCGTTGGTTTCGGGAAGCTCTTTACTCTTTCGTCTTTTTACCTCCGAAAGATTTAACGCGAAATGAATATAATTATAAAGAGAGATACAAAAAAATTTTTAAATTTAATTAAATTCTTTTTACTAAAATGAGCTTAAAAGTTTCTCTAAAAGTTTAATTTGTGTAAAAATGTTGTGAAAATGTTGTTTTAGAAGTATTAAAAATCGTTGAATAGATGACCTTTTTAATGTTGTCCCATTTTCCGTATTACACATAACACCACCCGGTTTTCAAAGTTAAACTTGGAAAGTTTAGACGTTCGGGCCGATGTCGGCGCGCGCTATAGCGCAAACTATTTCCATAATTTCCGCGGCCTCGGTGCTAGATGGGGCGCCGCCGTTGCGTCAGATAACAACCCTCCGCTCACCCTCCAAAACAGTTTTAGCTACATCTGCCGCATTAGACCGAGCAATTTTAGCAAAGGGCCGTCGACGACGGTTTGTTCTTCTTCGTGCCAAGGCCATAAATCGCAAAGTGCATTAAACACGTCGTCCCTCCGACAACCTTCCTAACTTCTCCACGGGTAGTTTTACTAAATACGTTACGGTTAACCGTAGTCGTTGGGCTTCCGCGAGGGGTTGATTTTGAACTAAGAAAATTAACGAGTAGTTAATGCTCCTAATTTTGTCACCAATTTATAAGAATATTTATTCAAATAAACACATGATTCTGATCATGTGCATGAATAATGATCCAATCTTGCTTAGTTTTATTGAGTAACGACGAAATGTCTCTTAGGACGTAACCCTCATGAATTGCATATAAGGAAAATTTATTAAAACGACCATGCTATATTATACACGTTATAAACACGGTCGCAGGGAGATCCCACGGGACGCGAGTTTCACCCCGGGGGTGTACCAAGAACGAAATTGCCTATTCGATGTGAAATATTTATAGTCGACAGGGTAGATATTGCAAGGAGTCGCGACGTTGTCGGAATTAATCGAGAGATTCGCGGCGGTATGATGATGGTTAAGGTCCCAAGGACACCGGAAATAGAATACGGGATTATATCCGCTTAGGTTCAAGATGAACGATACACTGCGTTCTTTCCGGTTATCCCGGATGTAACGTCTGTCCTAACAACCGGAAAATTTAATAGTAACCATATAAATGATAGTTATCAAAAAACTTTTTCATTATTTTATACAGAGCAAATGTAACAAATGTAATTCATAAAGATTCTGTAATTAAAATTATTAAGATGAAGAGGTGGAACACAAACAAAGTTGACGCATTATTTGAGCATATCAAGATAAGAGCAAATACATGAAGCCTTAATCAACAGGAACATTTAATGGGATTACAGGGATAGAATGAACATTTTTTATTCGCATATACAAAGCAAGGAAATTTAAAGAAAAGGATAGACAAAGGAAAAGCAGAAAGTTCTCGTTAAGGTGTGTCCAAATATAGACCGGCAAACCGCGGCACTTCCGAAACACAACTCACTTCAATTCGCACGAAAACTAAAATGAAATCGAAAATAAGGAAATTTTGGATGACACCCCTTTATTAGCGCAAGAAAAATCTCTCAGTCTTTATATCAGGTTAACCCGTAGGTACTATCGTTGTTTTAATACACGTAAATACTATGGTGGGGTGTTTAAACACCCCAATATATATTTAAAAATAAAAAAATATGCTTTACAATTTTTATGTTTTATGACATAGGTGTTCACGTTGGATGTATATAGAAACATTATAAGCAACATAAAATTTATTGTCATTACAAGGGATCGAAATAAATAAACTTTAATAACTTCATATAAATACAAACAAAATAAATCGTTACCTTCTTTAATATAAAAATACTGCATAATAAACTAAAAATATTGTTTTATGATGTATTGCATATGAGTTTAGGAACATGTACCCTAGTTTTTGTAGCAAAAAAAATAAGGTCAACATAAAAAACAAAAAAAAGAACGAGCATGTTTGAACTGGGAAAAAAGCAACGAAAAATCGAATATTAGTAATAGAATATTACTACCTCTTCTCGTTACAATTATTACAGTGCACAAAACTATTAGAATGGTTTTTACAAACATTCTTCTTGCATATTTGACAGGTTGTTTTGATTTTGCGGTCTTGTTTCCTAGAACACATATAGCAACGGCCATAAGAACTGGAACATACACGGTTTACAGGTCCGGGTTGATTTGGAAGTTCGAGTTGGCTTCTGTTAGGTACACCATCGTCCAGTATATTTTTAATTATACACCTCAGATCCCTTGTCAATTCTTTTGCTTCAAGTCTACGTTTTACATAATCATGAATCAACGATTTGGCAAGATCAATTGTGAATTTACATCGTGATGTTTTGATATTTGCTTGGGAAGCCGATAGGTAAAGTATAAAACTGTTCGATCTTGCAATGTCAATAATAGCACCAAATACAGTTATAGGCCACCTTTTAGTTCTTCTTTGACAAGAATAAGTCGCGCAGTGTTGATCTAGAGCGTCCACTCCACCCTTTGTAGAATTATAAAAATTAATGATCCCAGGCTTCCCGTTTTCTTCTACATTTGACGCATGGTGCATAGTTGAAACCAGTATAACCGATCTATTCTTCTTAGGTACATATGATACTATTGTTTCATTACGTGTAAATCCAAAAATAGATGATACCTGTTCACGATGTCTGCTTGGGAGGAATTGCGGAGGAACCTCCCGCTTGTTCTTTCGTAAGGTACCGACATACGTTAGACCAATATCTCTCAGTTCCTTCATTAATTCAATTGAACTAAACCAGTTGTCTCCCGTGACATTTCGGTTGGTGTTCCTAATAGGTTCTACTAACTTTAGAGTACTTTGAGTGGGGACTGACAATTTCTTTGGATTTGGTTCTTTGGTTTTTCCGCAATATATATAGAATTTAGCAAATAATGCGTTTTTGCATCACATAAGCACATTATTTTCAATCCATATTTTCATGGTTTACTTTTAATGAACTGTCGGAAGGAGCATTTTCCTCTGAAACCAACTAACATTTCCTCTACCACCGCATACTCACTACATGAGTAATTTTTTTTACATTGAGCGTTAAATATATCATATATTTTGGAAATTGCAGCTAGTTTGTCCCCACTTTCAATTCTTTCCTGTCGGGAAGTCCAGTCATCAAACCACAAAGCGATTAACAGAAATAGAAATCTCTCCTTGGGCATAGTCCCACGAAATATATCTCTCCCTAAAGTTCACGTCTTCATGATTGGATTTGCATACTCCTGCTAGGAACATCAAACCCAGAAATGCTTTCAATTCTATCTCGTCTATATGTCCCACAAATGTAGCTGTGGGACCGTAGCTTACACTTAAATCTGTAATTTTAGAGTTGGTGTGTTCCAAAATTTCAGATATGATTTCATCTGTTATCAAAAGTGACCAACATTCTAAAGGGCTTTTGGGGGGTTTCACAGGTGCGTTATTTTTTAGGCCTGGAAGATATATTATGTTCTCCTGTCGAGTTCTGGAAGAAACCGGTGGAACTTTTGACCACTTGTATCTATTTTTGCCATAAAAAAAAATTGCTTTCCCTGGGAGATCGTAAACTGCTCTACTCTTCTCGTTTACTTCATCTTCTGCTTCATCCGTGTCGGTATTATGACTGCTATGTTCGCTTGATGCATCACTAAGGTCGCTGTCTTGTTCATTTTCAAGTTCATCTTCAACATTCCTATCATCATAAAAGTTCTCGACAAGTTTTTCAACTTGTTCGTTTGACAAAAACCGATTCATTATTTTGTACACTAAGATTTCAACTCACGAACTTTTTCTAAGGACAAAACTCACAACGAAACTGCGATGACAAAGATTGGCGAATAAATGAAATGGAACCTCTTGGTCGCTTTATATAGAATACAAAACACCGGGGAATCACATATGTACGAATTGTGTTGTCAAATATATTATATATATTCCCCGACGCATAAAACTCACGTATCGCAATATTGTACCGGTCTTATGGTCTCGGCGACGAAGTACGACCGCGCTAATTATAAACAGTCGAAAGAAATGTTCAAGTTGGAAAGAAATATATGAGATAATTGTAAAAAATTACAAATAATGTAAATAAAAATAATCTACGTTTCGTCGTTAATAAGTAAAGAGTGTGACTAACTCATATAGATGTAATTCTAAATGATATCATTCTCCTTTTAAAAAAAGTCTAACGCAACTGCTATAGTGGGGTATCAGACCACCCCAAGCGTTGCTTTTCCCAAAAATGGTTAAAAATAAAAAATATCTGATAGTGCTATATTAAACATATCAAAGTTGTAGAAGAATACCTAAAACCAAATAATTGTAAAAAAATTGGTTTAAAAGATATGAAGCAAAAACTGGTGTCTGGGGTATCGAAACACCCCAGTATAGTAGTTGAGGGTTAATATTATCCTTATTATCAGGATAAGAGCATGCGGGATACAATAAGAAAATACGTAGAGTCTACGTATTTAGATCGCGAATTAACAATTAAGTATCGATTAGGATCGTATTTACTATTAGATGGTGACGAGACAATAATTTAATTGCATTTTCTAGAATTTTGTCTCCAGCGTCAGTAACAGAAAAGAAAAGGTTTTACTACAACTACCTCCACTTGGCATTAGCACCGTTCATAGAATAGATAAAATGCTCAACGACACAGGCAGTGTATCAAAGCACATTCTGAAAGTCTCAAATCGATGATGGGAGATTAGAAATAATCACGGAATAGTGAAATATTTTGTAATTACTGCGAGCTTGAGAACGGTTTTTAGTAAAGAACAAAATTAAGCAGCTTAAACCGAAATTTCTATACAGTCTTGAACCGAGGTAGGTAGGTAAAAGGTTCAAATTTTGTTTGAGGTCCCAAGAGAATATTTGCAAAACAGAATTTTTTTACGTAGAATTTTATTCATCAGTTTGATCATCTCAAACTAGTCCCTATATTGTAGTGCCTCGGCGGCAAGCGGCCTCGGCTGTATTAGGTGACCTTCTAGATTGTTTGAGAATTAACCCGAGGTCGGCTGAGGCTGAAGCTCAGTGATTAATTAAGTCCATGCTCAATGATTAACATATGTTATGTCAATCTGAAACTGGTCATCACATTGTGCCGCCTCAGCTGCAAGTATGACGTTGTAGGTTTCTCTGATAATTAGCCGAGGTTGTTTGCGTGATAGTTGAGTGATTAATATTATATCTACCTTAAACTAATCATCATATTGTAACGCCTTGACCGTAACTCTCCTCGGCTTTATCAGCTAGCCTTGTAGATTTTTTGACTAATTAAGCCGAGGTCGTTTAGACGAATAACTCATAACTGCGTATCTTTGATTTTCTTTGCAGTTTCTTTCTCCGACCTCGTAAGTGAAAAATTACTGAATCTATCTAGTACCAATAATTATCAAATTGCAGCTACAACTGTCTAAAAATATAGATACTTTGTAGATCAGATTACCAACCAGATATTTTTTGACATAAAGTACTTTACTTTTGAACTGCTAAAATTCCAGCTTGCCAAGGTCCCAGAAATAATATCAACATCAATTAAAATACTTAAAAAAGAGGATATGTGCCACTAGAACGAATAGGATCTACAAAAAATGATTAACTAGAATGTCAGAATGTAGATAATCTTTTGTAGTGGAAACTCTAAATCAAAATATTCTTTTTGAACATCAAGTTTACAGAATATTTAATGAACGTGCTTTACGATTAAATTTTTTAATTTGGTTTACAAATCCAACCGTGATGGTAATTACCTTAATAGTTAGTAGTATAGATACCGACATTTTCGTATTTGCAATTCTCAAGAGCTACGTTTGTTGGAAACCTGCCTCAAGATGCGACAAAATTCTTCGTCACCCCTCTACTCTTCGATCTTTCTCAACTTTTGTATTGGATTTAGGAACGAAGTGCTAAATTGGATTTTATGATATAGTACTTGAAAACAACTGACAGCATTGACATTTTTCCACTCAGAAAGAAAAACAATTTGTCAAAATTCTATACATTTAGTTATTATTTTGTACATAGTAGGTAAATCTAATAAAATATAAACATATAAATCTTAAAATGGTATTGAGTAATGGTAAAAATCTGTATAAAGTCGTGATGGTCAAAATGCTGCGAATCAACTCAACTTGAAAATGGTTTTTAAAATTCTTCACCTCCTTCACCTTCACCTTCACCCGAATCCATACCAATTTCTTCAAAATCTTTCTCTAAAGCCGCCATATCTTCACGTGCTTCAGTAAATTCACCTTCTTCCATACCTTCACCCACGTACCAATGTACAAAAGCTCGCTTAGCATACATTAGATCGAATTTATGATCCAAACGAGCCCAGGCTTCAGCAATAGCTGTGGTGTTTGACAACATGCAAACCGCTCGTTGCACTTTAGCTAAATCACCACCCGGAACAACCGTTGGTGGTTGATAATTGATGCCAACTTTAAATCCAGTTGGACACCAATCCACAAATTGAATTGTTCTTTTCGTTTTAATAGTTCCAATAGCAGCATTAACATCTTTCGGAACCACGTCCCCACGATAAATTACACAACATGCCATGTATTTTCCGTGTCTGGGATCGCATTTAACCATTTGATTGGCTGGTTCAAAACAGGCGTTGGTAATTTCAACAACCGAAAGTTGTTCGTGGTAAGCTTTTTCTGCCGATATAATAGGAGCGTATGTAGCTAAAGGAAAATGAATTCGTGGGTAAGGGACCAAGTTGGTTTGAAATTCTGTTAGATCCACGTTCAATGCACCGTCGAATCTTAAAGATGCAGTCAGAGAAGAAACAATTTGAGCCAACAGTCTGTTCAAGTTGGTGTAAGTTGGTCGTTCTATATCCAAATTACGGCGGCAAATATCGTAAATTGCTTCATTATCCACCATAAAGGCGGCATCTGAGTGTTCCAATGTAGTATGGGTGGTTAAGACTGCGTTGTATGGTTCCACGACGGCAGTAGCAATTTGAGGAGCCGGGTAAACAGCGAATTCCAGTTTGGATTTCTTTCCGTAGTCAACAGATAGACGTTCCATTAGAAGAGATGTAAAACCGGATCCTGTTCCACCACCAAATGAGTGAAATATCAAAAAACCTTGCAGTCCCGTACACTGATCGGCCAGTTTGCGAATACGATCCAACACCAAATCTACAATTTCTTTCCCAACTGTGTAGTGTCCGCGGGCATAATTATTAGCAGCATCTTCTTTGCCGGTTATTAACTGTTCTGGGTGGAAAAGCTGTCGATAGGTTCCTGTTCGGACTTCATCCACAACCGTTGGTTCTAGATCCACAAAAACTGCCCTGGGGACATGTTTTCCAGCACCTGTTTCGCTGAAAAACGTATTAAAGCTGTCGTCTCCTCCACCGACCGTTTTATCAGATGGCATTTGGCCATCTGGTTGAATACCATGTTCTAAACAGTACAATTCCCAACAAGCGTTACCAATCTGGACACCAGCTTGTCCAAGATGACAAGAGATAACCTCACGCTAAACGAAGACAGATATTTTAAAAATTATAAATTACTATATAAATTGACAGTAATAGAATACACACGTAATTTATTTTTAAATGAAAACATTTAAATAAGAATATTGTCTTACCATGTTTCGAAGAAATTCTGTTTCTTAAAGTCGTGAAAATAAACTTACAATTAGTAAAAGTTGATATGTGTGGTACAGTAAATCAACGTAAAAGCGATATTATTGTAGAAACCAATATGTCATGTCGATAGCAATTTTATTGGTTGATTTGATTTTTTAGCGAATTTATTGGCATTAATGAATATACAGTTGTTACAAAGCGACCATCGATTATCATTTTTTCACTGCATTTGAAATAAAGGCTGTTCAGAAATTAGCGGATAATCTACACGTAGCGACATTCTTCGTTCGATTCTAAAGCGAAAATCTTAATTGTAAAATATTGTACCATGCTTCATACGTCTTCATGAGGTTCTCAAAGTTCGGATAATTTGTCCATAAATAATCATATATTATCAGTGATGGGCGCTGGGTAAATACCTGGCGTGTAGGTATTTCTAAAATGGGTATTTATCCGGGTATTTACCCCGGCCCAGGGTAAATACCCAAACAGTACGTATAAAACTGATACAAGTAAAAATATATCAGATTCCGAAAAAATGAAGAGGAAGATGATATGGACATTGAAGACGAGGAATTGTCAACGATCCAAGACGTATTATTATCAGACGAATCTGTCGTAATTTAGAGCTTTGCCACAATGTTGACCACATCTTCGGCGCCAGTTCTTCTTCATAGGTCTTCATTTCGGTCTTTGCGTTACTTTGAGCCTCCTGGCAGTGGCTACCGTTAATGTCAATGTTTCGGAGCCGTATGTCATAAGCGGAAACACGCATTGATTGAAAGCCTTTCTTTTCAAATATATAGAAATATCGCTGTTGAAGATGTCTCTAAGTTTCCCGCAGGCTGTCTATGCGAGTGTGATCCTTCTGTTTAGTTCGCTTGTTTGATTATTTCTGGATACACGAACCTCATGGCCAAGATAGACATAGCTGTTAACCCTCTCAATCTCATTATCCCTAATGTTGATGTTAGACTTGAGAACAATATTTATCATAAATTTTGATTTAATGTTATGCCTTTTTGGGTCCAATCCAGTTGTTTAAATGCATTCTCCAGGACTGTGATGAACAATTTGGGTTCAACAGTGTATCGCTTTGTTTTACTCACAATCAGTAGTTTACTACTTCTACTCTCTTCAGTAATTTTATGAAATTTTACCGTCATAGTAGCATTCTTGTAGATGTTATAAACAAGTTTGGTGTATCGATAATCGACTCTGCATTCTTGAAGTGCTTGCAAAACTGCTATCAACTCAATTTAAATTAAATTTTATAAATACCTCTAAATACTCATCTTGGGTAAATACCCCCGGGTATATATCCAGGAAATTTACCCTTGAAAATAAATACCCGGGTATTTAACAACACTGTATATTATACAACAAGACGATCGAAAATACTCGATAATACGAGACGTATTGCCTGAATTACCATCAAGATTACCATCAGTATTGCCTGAATTTTTTAAGGCAATACGTCGAGATTCCAGTATTTTGGATTGTCTTGTTGTATATGGCTAGACTATTTCATGAATAAAAAATATACATATTTTTAGAATTTTAATATTTTTTGAAAAAATCACATTGATTGTTATGGAAACATTCATGGATGTCACGAAATTAATTAAATGTCAAACAAGCGATAATACAAAGGTTCGTATTACAGTGATAATACTGATAATACAAAGGTTCGTATTATCGTTCTCCATGGTTACGGCCAAATAACCGCTGAAATACTCGCAATTGACGGAAAACCGCGAATTCTTATTGACTGTTAACGTTATGAATGAAATAGTCATTAATATTCAATATCTGTTGATAAATAAGCTGTAATTTAGAATAAAAAGAATGTTGAAAACTAGTTTTTTTGTTAAAGTTATTTTCTTTAGCTTTAAAGTTCGTTTTTAACATTTTTTCATTATCATACCTTCATGAAAAACACGTTTGGCAACATAGTAGAAAAACATTTTAACATTAAGATTTTCGATTCAGAGTCGATCCTAGAATGTCGCTATGTGTAGATTATCCGCCAATTTCTGAACAGCCTGTATATTTCTAGATAATAAACTATAATAAATAGTTCTTTTAATTTCTTGGTTGGCACAAGTTTAAGTATTTATTATAATACTTTTTATAATATATATAACAGTTTATTGTTAGAAATCTTGTTATGGACTGCATAATTTGTAATTATAAAGTAATACATTTAGTTCGTTTCATAACGGATAGGCACCGTCGACAAGTATTTATTTGATACATTATGCTTAATCAACTTTCGTTGTACATTGCTCAAAAAGACCACTTTACCTGCAACGGTTAATAAACTTCTTGCGTTAACTTTGGTACTTTCAGCACATTTGACGTAAAACTTGGTTATATTTCGTTTTATGACATCCAGACTTTAATTGCAAAAGACGGAATTTGGATTGAAAAATTTATCGTCAATTATACCTTACAGGGACATAATCCGGGGACACACTGTATATTAATAATTTTTATTCATTCTTAATTTCCTCATTACATCTTCACTGCGGAATAAAGAAAAAAAAAATGAATAATATTTCCGTTTTTAATTTTTAATTTCCCCATTATATTCTAATTCTAATTGTCTATCTTAAATTTAGCACTATTCACTATTTTTATTCGAAAAACTATTTACCAGGACCTTTATGCTCTAAAACTTCTTTGTTTTTTATTTTCACTAGCACATTCGTTGTTTTTTCTTAAATAACCTGATATGGTCGGGTTAGCAAGCGGGTGGTAGCAAGTGCAATGAATCGCTTGATTTTATCCGAGTGTTTTGGAACAGGATAATTTTGGACAACCTTGATTTTTTCTGGATTTGGTGATATTCCGTCTTTAGAGATAACGTATCCTAGATATAATAACTCTTTTCGTAGGAAACCACACTTAGCTGGATTCAATTTTAAATTTACCTCTCATAACCTTTGCAGTACTTTAACTAAATTTGGATTGTGATTTTGTAAGTTATGTCCAAAAATAATGAAGTCGTTCAAATAAACGAATTATGACTCATAATTAAGTCCTGACTTTAATCCCATTGGTAATCTTGTCATTAGGTAATGACGTTTATCGGTAACAAAAGCTGTGTAAGCTCGACTATTGGGTTCTAATTCAAGCTGGTAATATTCCAGTGTGAGCTCTAAATGTGTAAAATATATTGACCCGGATAATGAATCTAAAATTTCGTGTATATTAAGTAGAGGGAACTTATCTTCTTGTATGCGTTTGTTTAATAACCGATAATCGATAACGAGTCTCCATTTCTTTTCACCATTATTCCCAGATTTTTTGGTACAATTAACAGTGGTGAAGACCATTCTGATTTAGCTTCTTCTATTATTCCATCTTTTAACAGTTTATCTATCTCATTACTAATTTCCTTTTTTTGTGCATGTGTACCTTATCGCTTACATAAGGTTTAACATATGATGGCATTGCATCCTTTTGTAAACAGATTTTTTGTTTTGCAACTTTTTCCTCTTTATTATTAAATCTTTAGTATCAATTAATTTTAAAAGTCGATCTACACGGCTAACAGAGACATCTGGTTAATTAAAACTATAAGATTCAAAATTATATAAATTTTCTATAGCAGGTTTAAAATTTTTAATTTTGATTTCTTTTCGAATGTATTTAAAAATTTAATTGGGATTTTATTTTGTTGTGGTCTTACAATAATTCCTGCCACATAAACACCTTCACATACTTCATTTGGAAATGTAACGCAACCATTATTAAAATCTGCATTAAAATATTTAATAATTTCACACCTTGGTGGTAGGGATTTATAACCAATAATTATCAAATTGAAACTACAACCGTCTAAACATATAGGTCCCTTATAGATCAGATTACCAATCAGATATTTTTGACATAAAGTACTTTTGAACAGACGCAGACGGTGACAACAATCAAGTAGAGAGGTACTTACTTGTGTGTACCAGCTATGACAAGAACTAAAACTCCAGCTGGCTAACGTCCCAGAGATAATAACATCATCAATTAAAATACTTAAAAGAGAGGATATGTGCCACTAGAATGAATGGGATCTACAAAAAATGATTAACTAGAATGTCAGAATGTAAATAAACTTTTGTAATGGAAAGTCAAAATCAAAATATTCTTTTTGCATATCAAGTTTACAGAATATTTAATGAATGTGCTTTACAATTACATGTTTTAAATTTTTCTTTACAAATCCAACTGTGATGGTAATTATCTTAAAAGTTAGCAGTATAGGTACAGACATTTTCGCATTTGCAATTCTCAAGGGACACATTTGTTAGAAACCTGCCTCAGTTGCGGGTTCCGCATAACCGCTTTTAATGTTTCTATAGGGAAGAGGGTTTGTATATATGCAATTTTAGTGAGTGGTTTTACTACTAACATAAGTATTCCTTCTATTAACAAACAAAAAAAAACCTAAATGAACTTACATAATATTAACAGTTAAGAATAACCATCAATTAAACGAAAAATTATACAGAGTGGTCCATTTAACGTGAGACAAGCGATTATCTCGAAAACGATTCATTTTACATAAAAATAAACCAAATGAAAGTTGTTCTATGCGAAGGGGGAAAACATATGACAATAAAATTTTTTGACCTTGGCCTTATTTTCAAGGTTATATGAAGGTCACGACCAATTTTTAAATGCCACCCTATATATTTTATTGTAAAATCTGAATTTGTGGATAAAAGTACCCACGTTTATAAGAATCCGCGTTTATGTTAGCGTTTATTTGGATATTAGGTTAGTTTTTGTATAGCACGTGCGGAGTGGGTATGTAAATTTGTGAGGGTCCTTCGAGTCTGGCTTTGATTTGGTTTTGCACATTGGTTTGTGCCACCAGACTCGAGTGACCTCTTGGGAATAGACAACATATTTTTTGTAAGCTGTTGGTCCTTATGCTTAGGTTTGTTATAATTAGTTGTATTTTTATAATAATGTTAATTTTTGAGTTTTATTTAGAGTGTGGTTAATTAACCAGTTTTCTTTTGAAATTTGGGTATCTAATTCATCCACCTTATCCCGAAACAACATTCCACGGAATTTTCCGCAACAATAATTCAAAAAAAAATA